ACGTCTAGCCTCCAGAACTGTGAGACAATACATTTCTGCTGCGTAAGCCTCCAGGGTGCGATGTTTTGTTAGGGCAATCCTAGTAAACTCACACAGCGCCCACATCCACAGTCCCCTCCCATCTGGTTTTGTTCCGTGGTAACAAGTTCCCCAGCCCCCGGCATCCCTATTTAAGAAGGAAGTGAGGGCAGAGGGGTGGTAGGAGGCCCTCAAGTAAAGAATGAGGTCCAAGCATAAAAGAGCTGTCTTAGGCAACCCAAGGTTGGTGCCCAGGGGGACTCATTGCAATATGGAAGAGGGATCAGAAGTTTGCATGATGGGCCCAGAGCCCAGAGGACAGGACCAGCAGTGGGGAAAGTTGTGAAGAGGCAGGTTTCTATCACAACATAAGGAAAACTTTCTAATGGCTCTTATAATTGGAAAACAGGATGAATGGTTGCCTTGGTGCAGAAGGCTCAACTCTGATCTGCTTCCACCTCTACTCAACACATCATGAACAGGAGCACCATCTAGTTCTAGAATTCTGACCTGAACTACCAGCTACTACCATCCTCCTACCTCTCCATCTTACCCTCACCCACCCACCATTCAGGCTTTGGCCCTCATTCTCTATGCTAGCAGGACCACTCTCCTTGGATTTGGAGGCACACTGCTGCCAACCCACTTTCCTGGCTGCCATAACTTTTGTTTCATGAAGGATTCAGGATATCTTGTGAAATGCCCAGACTTGTACCTGACCTGGACCACCCACCACCCTTGACTCCAGTCTTCCTGCCTCATGATCAGATCTCAGATGTATCTGGGACAAGCAGCACTCTCAGACCTAGAGTCCAGCCTCATCCAGACAAATGATCTTGGCCAAGTTACTGACCCTTTAAAAAAATCAGTTTACTTGTCTGCTTCATTTACATGAGCAAACATTTTCAAAACTCATTTCTAACAACAGAGAACATGAAATAGTATGGTATGTATTTGCAAGGGAATATCATGAATGCAGCAATAATACTGAAGAATATTTAGTAACATGGGGAAACACTCATGAAATATTAAGAGGAATGTAAGTACAAAATGCTGTTTATTATCAACACATTTTTGTAGAAAAGCACACCAATGCAGAAAAAGACTAGAATTATATTCACTATAAAGATAGGAGTAACTATTTTCTAATTATTCTTTTTTACTGCCAACAGTGAACATGTAATACTTTTTAACAAGGAATAAAGTTATTTAAAAAAGTCTTTTCCATGTCACTTGTTTTCTCTCATATGCGGGAGGCAGAGATAATAAAATACAGTAGTATTATGAAAAACAGGTCACGCTAAGGGGAAGTCACTAATGGGAGAAGGAGGATAAAAGAGGGAAGTTAAGAAAGTTAATGTGGTCAATGTACTTACTACATAAGCATGAATACAGAATTTTTAAACCTATTGAAACCACCATAAGACAGGAACTAAGTTAGGAAAGAGAAAAGTATAGGGCATAAACCAATTCAGGTTATAATACATAAATACATGCAAATGTCACAAGTAAACTCCCTATATAGCTATCTTAAACAAACAAAAATGTCTTTTTCTCAAAAATAGAGACCACGAAGGTAAACAGGTCATGTCTGGGGGGGTTGGTACCAGCAGAAGGGGGAGGATGTAAGGAAAGGATGTGGGAGGGTGAATAGGGAGGGAATATTGTGTACTCAGGTATGAAAATGGAAAAATGAGACCAGTTGAAGCTGTTCCAGGAAAGGGGGAAGGGGGAAAAAGGAGAACAATGGAGGGTGTGAATTCAACTATGATATATTGTAAGCACTTTTGTAAATGTCACAATGTACCCCAGTATAATAATATAATAACTGTAAAAAATTAAAAAACAAAAAATAAAAATAAAAAATCTTTGCCATTCTCATTTTATCAATTTTCTCCTCCAAAAAGGGAGGGAGATTGACAACAGTCAACTGATGTAGCAACCTACTGAAAGAACGCAGTGAAGTAAGTCCATTACAATATCCTACAAGCTGCTAGACTTTGAACTTGGAGACAGCTAAGAAAACCAGGCTAATGGATGGTCACAACATGGAGCTAGAGACATGACTAGACTTAGACTCCCAAAGGACTGACTGTTGCTCCCCAGCAGGAACCAAATCATTACTGCCACCGCCCTGCCCATTCAGCCCCTCCAGGAACAAAAAGTGCCACGTGCCACACACAGGTCATTATCTGACCACCCTGTGAGGCTGAGCTCCGCATGGTTTTTTACAGCAAAGCCTGCCAGCAGAGCAGAGGCCCCATTCATTTGGTTTGTCCCCTGGTAATCAGCCCCTTCTCATGGGAAAAAGGACTGGCTACAGAATGGAGCCAGCCAGACTAACCTCTTGTGAGAAGTCTGGCAAGGGCTGGGCTACAGGAGCCAAAGAAAATAGTCATTTCAGTGACAAATTTCAGATGGACTATTTCACTATTCCCTGGGTACAGGGATCTAGGACCAGGTGACAGAGGTGCCAACAGCACCTATCTGGTGACCTACTATGGGCAGCCCAGGGGCAGGTCTTGTCACGGCAGTCTGGGAAATGCATGTTGATTATTTTCTTCCCTGCTGGCACACAGTGGAAAGCATCACTTGTGACCAAGCCTGTGTTCGTCATGTGCAATATTTACATCCTTTAGGTGGAGCTCTAATTCAGTGTCACACTTTAGGCATGTGACCAACGAGCTCATGGACCTCTTTCTCCAGAACAGCTCTATAGAAGCTGGAAGCAGGGACCCACACATTATTCCACCTCCCTGTACACACTTAGACTTCAGTCTCAGTGTCAGGTACTCCAGAGTCCTCTGCAGGGAGTTCAGAGTCACAAATTCCTCTCCATCCTGTTCAGTGGGCTCACCAAACACTTCCCAAAGCAAAGTGAAGTGCCTGCAGGAACCAGCACCCAATTAGAGCAGATAAACGCTGAAACAGTCTTATGGCACAAATGCTTTTGTATGGCTCATATAATAAATGAACTAGGCACTTCTTCTCTGCAGATTCTTTGGCCTTCTAAAATTGTTCCTGGGAATTCAAACCATGCATGGAATAAAAGTCACCTATGGCGGCCAATTTATGCAGAAGGCATGCTCTCCACTCCTCCTTATAAACAAACCCGTGAAACTATTTTGGAGACCTGGAGCAGCCCCCTGCCCAGCTGTGTGCTGTCAGGTTTTGAAATTTGGTCAGACATACCAGAGCCACTAAGAGGTCCATGTACCGTGCAAAAAATACTCAACTATCATTCCTCCGTGATACAGAAGCCCAAGTAAAAATTTGGGTGTAATTAGTGTTTCTACCAGAGGCTCACAGACAAGACCCCAGAATTCAAGAAGGCTCTTCGCCTCCAATGGTCAGCCCTACTGCCCAAACACCTCCTCATGACGATACAGACCAAGCCCCATCCAACGGGAGAAATACCAGAGCCTAATTCATCAGGGACTCTTCTAGAAGAGGTCCAGAGCCTGCTTCCGGAAGCCCAAAGCTGAGACTACTTAGCACTGGTATGAGTTCAGGGTTGATTCCAGGGAGAGATTTTTTCCACTTGGTTCTGTCTTCAGAGATAAGAGCTCAGTGATTTCTTCCCTGTGCTCCAATTTATGTACTTGCCGGTATTGCTACCAGAAAACAACTCCCCCAGGGTCCTAGGGCAGTATCAGTCATGGCAGAGAACAATTGTCTGACTGCAGCTTGAAACACCATTTTAGTGACATGCTGTAGCCGGTGGCCTGGCTTTCACTGAAGTTTTAACAGCAATAAAGATAAATGATCACTGTAGTCCCCAACCCCAGCCACAACAGGAACCCCTGGCCATATGGAGGAGGGACCAGGCATCTCTGTCTTTGTTCTGTAGGTCATGACTAGACTCACAGGGGGCCCCACCCCATGCATGGGGAGCCACACACACTGCCTTTCCCGCTCAGGGCACTAGACTGTCTACCTGCAACACGCTCGTTCAGTGGAAGTATCCACTCCCCAGCTGGAACAGAAGGACAGCTCTCTGGTGTGTACCTGTTCTGAGCCATCCTAGCTCAGAACCCTTGGGACTTGGCAGACAGGAAGCTTGTGTCAAATTTGGTTCAGATTCTATTTTCACTTAAGCCTATATATTATAATTAACTTTATACTTCAAGGCACACTGCTTTCTGGAGGCACAAAGCTTCTCAGACAGAGGCAATTTTTTCAAAGTTTAGTACTCAGCATTAGAACAATCTTCCAGTTTATAGCAGGTAAAGTTATACTTTGTCAAATAATGGCTGGAGATGTTCAACAGTCCAGCTCTCCCCTGACAAATGACCATCCAACAGTGTCCACAGGCTGCAACCCACCTCTTAACTGTTTCTTAAGCAGAGACTCACAGGCGCGTTCTAACATTCTGGAATAAAATATCAGAAAGTCTGACAGCGTAAAATCTTATTTCTCAAATGGACACATCATCTCTTCTTAAATATTCAGTTCCTGAGCAGACCCATGTTATTGAAAACGAGACCACAAGTCACCAACTTCAAATTACACCAAATGCTGACAGTGTGGTCACACTCTTTCTCAGATACAAAGGGAGGATGACCAGGAAATTGGTTTTGATTCTTCAAAGCTGGGGTTTCCAACATGTAGACAGACCCCAAGTATACCTTGGTGAGGAATACCAGACAGTTCAACGTCCCCATCCTACACACACAAACACGAAAAAAGTAGATTAAACACAAAACTCCTGTGTTTTCCCATGCAGGGGTTGTTAAGGTTCTAGCGGAATGGATTTCAAATTCTGCAGCTCATCAAAACCACCTAGGAGCTTTTGCTCCAGCAAATTGCACCTTGGATCAATACACCACCAGGACTTCTGAGGTGCAACTCAGACATCAGTAGCTTTCAGAACCTTGGAGATATTTGGCCAGGTCTGAGACGCAGCACCCTGGCAAAACCCTTACACCCAGGTGGTATGCACAGCCAGGTTGTTCATGCGCCCAGAGCGCACCAGCTCCTACCTATATAGAGCGAGGAGTCCTTCCTCCGCACGTGGTCGTCGATGTAGGAGACCCCAAGGGGCTGCACAGGGGTAGCACCGATGCCCAGGAGCACCTGGGCCCCAATAAGCAGCAAGTACATCATGTTGGTGGCAGTCCTGTTGCGGCAGATGAGGTCAGGGTCGGGCCCCTCGTCGCCACCCGAGCCATTGGCAGCACAGACGTCGCGGCCCTCTGCGCCCCAGCGGATCTCGCCAGCCTCATACTTGTACTGATGGGTCAGGAACTCCGGCAGCGCGGACAGCAGGGCGCCCAGTGCCATGACGACACCCCCGCAGCCAATGAGGCGCGGCCGGTGCCCGCGCGCCCCGAAGTAGCTCACGAAGAGGATGAGCGCCAGGTTCCCGATCTCGAAGCTGCTGGCGATCACACCCACGTCCGCGCTCTGCAGGTTGAACCTGCGCTCCAGCGTGGTCAGCACGCTCACCTGGGGGCAGCAAAAGGACATTTCAAAGCCCATCCACCAGGACGTCCTTCCCTGCCCTTCCCAGATTTTCCGACCCGGTTCATACTGGTACCAGCTGGTGGAAAAAAAAAAAAAAGGCAGATGGCACATGGCAGAGTGCAATGCTGCACACCTATAATCCTAGCTACTCTGGAGGCAGAGACTGGGAGAAGATCTTGGTTTGAGGCCAGCGCAGGCAAAAAGCCAGCCAAACTTTCATCTCAATCAATAAGCCAGGTATGGTGGTGTGGGGCCTGGCATAGGTAGGAGGATTGCAGTTGAGGCACCCAGGGCAAAAATATGAGACCCTATATGAAAAATAATGCAAAAAAGGATAGGGGGTGGGTCAAGAGGTAAAGAAAGAGCATGAGACCCTGAGTTCAAACTCCAGTACCACCAAAAAATAAAAAATAAAAATGACAGATGGAAGCCTCGGGAATCATAAAAGCCTTTATTTAGTAAGATAACCATAATTCAACAGCTGAAGAATTCACTTCCCTGATAGCAAAGACATTTTTCTCTGTACCAGCTTCTACCTTAGAAGGAAGGTCCTAGCTCTTTTCTGGAAGTTCTACCCCACCGAGGGCCCAGGGCCTGCTGTAAAAGTTCCAAGCCCACCGTTTGCACACTCCCAAGTGCCAGCTTGGCTGAGAGGGCATAAAGCCCTCCTAAAGTAGTAAAAACAAGCAAAAGCCTAAGTGGCAAAATGGACACACCAGACAAGGTCATGAGGATGACCTTTAGCTCTGCTTCCTTCTGGAAATTTCCAACAGACATGTTTCCCTAAAGGCCGACAGGTAAACATATCCTGACTGTCCTAAGCATGGTAGCCCTGCCAAGGCCTCTCACATGGACTATATTTATGATATTTATTGTATTCTTGTCTGCTGTCTACTTGTTTAACAAATATTTACTTAACATCTGCTATTTGCTTGGCAAAGCTTTAGACACAAAAGACAGAAAAACAAGGAAGAGGGGACACCTGGCCTTATGAGCCACCTGGCAGGAAGGTAGACGTGCACCCAACTATAACACAAAAGGATAGGAGGTGACAGTAGTGACGCGTTATTACCAGGTTTCTTACGGTGGAGGGAAGAAGAGATGATTTCCTCCCTGTCTGCAGGTTCCATGAAAGGTACTGCAGGATAACACAGGTCCCTGTCATGGGAGACCTGGATAGGCAGGGAAGAACGCCTCAGATGACGGGAACAGCATGAGCTGAGCTCAGGTGGTGTAAGTTCAGAATGGAGTGAAGGATGGCTGAGAGGGGATGGAGGGACACTGTGAGGCACAAAGGCCATTGTCTTGCAGTATTCAACAAAGCCAGTCATGGACTGAGGGAAACCTGGGTGAATTTCAGCCATTTCCTTAATCAGCTGTGACCTTTGCCAAATCACTTAACTTCCCCAACCTTGATTCCGTGAAGTTGTAATCGTAACATCCACCTGGCAGGTGGATGTGACTATAGAAGTATAATGAAACTCTGCTGGGCCATACTAGCCTTTCTTTCCGTAGCAGGAATTTGCATAGAAGCAGCAAAACATGGGAGGACAGAGCCAGGGCTGTGGGGCCAGACCACCTGGGTCCATGGTGACTCTGTAAAATGCTACCTCCTAGAACTGGTATCAGGAAAAAAAAAAATCAGGTATTGCAAATGCTAAGTAACAGTCAGTTGTAGCCATTGCCATCCTGTGGACACGGGGAGCACCCAAGGTTTTAGAAGCATGGGGGTCACAGCATGTGTGACAAATGAATGCTAGAGGAGTGAAGACATGAATGACAGTGAGGGAGCCAGCTGGGCTGTTGAGGGATGAGCAGAAGAATGGCCAAATCCACAGTGGCAATGGAAATGAACTTGGGTCATATTTCAAGAGTCTGGGCTGGGCCTGCTGACCAGCTGGGTGTGCGCCATAAGGACAGCAGGAAGCAGAGTCACAGGAGGCTAGCCTTCCTCCCAGTGCATAAACAGGGACACAACTATAAACATCCATGCATCTAGTCTCCCTACAAAGTCTGTATTGGAGTATCCATGTGCACACACGGTTGCTCATGCTGATTAGTGTGCCTCTATTTACCCTTACTATTAAAAGAACTGTGTCCAGCTCATTCCTCCTCACCTTCAACCTGCTCTTCCAGTCCCGTTCTCAGTCTCACTGAAGACTGGAAGTGTGTGGCGAGCACTAACATCTCCGGGTACCTGGTTGTCCAGGGCTCCCACGAGAGGGTATGATTTGGTTGGTCTGGGGAGTGACCTGGGCCCTGGGGTGTTTGGGAAGTTCTCCAGCTGACTCTAAGGAAGGTGAGAGGCACATTGCTAGCACCATGACACACAATATGGGTAGGGTGGGAGGAGTGTCTCTCCTTCAGCACTGCTCATGGGCCAGCTCTACAGAGCCGTGGTAGCATCTGTCACATCCTCCATCACTGAGTTCCAATGGAGAGTCCTCTTCCGTTGTGCTTTCTAGTCAAGTCAAGGCCAGCACACAACTCTGTTAACTCAGTCATATGACTCAGTGGTTATTTTTTAAACCCCAAGGATTTGCAGCTGTAGCGAACAGAGGTTCAGCTGGTCCTGGACTCATTAATTTGCTCTCAAATACCCCCAGGTTCTTTCTGAAAGGCCTGAGCTTTTTTATAACCACAGGCTTCAGTTATCAGATTCTGTCATAACACAGACACATACCATTGAACAAGTGCTCTAGTGCAGGTTTATCCTGGACAGTGCAGTGTAGGAACAAAAAGTCAGGCAGCCTAAAGGCCTGGAAGGAGAGGACCATGGGGGTAGGGGCTCCCCCACATCTTTGTGCTCAGCCTTGAGAGATGTCTAAAAGAGACTGGATACAGATGTAGGGAAGGGATGAGTCAGGGCAGGGGTCATTGGGTGCAAGTTACTGTGAGCATTCTGGTAGTGTGTTAGCTTTCTGTTGCTGTGACAAAATACCAAAGATAAACAACTTAGAGGGGTCATAGTTTCAGAGGTTTCAATTTATGACTAGTTGGCCTGCTTTGGGCCTGTGGCAGGGCAGAACATCATGGTAGGCAGGACATGGTGAAGTGAAGCTGCCATCTCAGGTGGCTGGAAAGCAAAGAGAGGAGAGGAGAGGCCAGGGTCCAGATACCTCCCAAAGCCACACCCCCAATAATGTAACTTTCTTCCACTAAGCCCCACCTCTTAAAGGTTCCACCACCTCCCAATAGCACCACAGGCTGGTGACCCACAGGACTTTGGGGGACATTCAATATCCAAAGCACGACAGGTGGGTTGCAGACTAGCAACCTCCACCATGGGGGTAGAGGGCAGCCCTGTTGAAGGACAAGTCCATGCACACTGCACAGCATATTAGCAGGTGTGTCTTGCCATAAAATACCATGCAGGTGTGCACATTTATGATGCCAGATAAGGGTGGTGGGGTCAGAGACAGCCGTGGGCAAAACACAAAAGCACCAGTTCTTCCAGAGACAGGTAACGCCTGCAGCTGTGGTCCTGGCTCCATCCTGCTGGTGGCAGAGTAATCCCCAGAGGTGACAGGAAGGAGCGAGGTCTTGCCCTCCTTGACCTGTGACCTCTGGGTCAACTGTTAAGTTACTACCAGTGCTCTGACATGTGCTCTGGGGATCCATGTGCATGCACATAGTGGAGGCTTGCTTTGTCACTCACTTAAAGCACAATTTTGAGAAGGTGGACTAATTAAGCGTGCATGCATTTATGTGGCAGTGAACAACCCAGCACAGAGGGAGCTGCACGCTAAAGGGAATGGGGAGCAGGACATCTGGACAATTAGAAGAACAGAACAGCACTTGTAAGAGGACAGTAGAGGGGCCCTTCTCCCCGGGGCCAAGTGGAGACGAAGTTGTATTAAGAGAAAGGAGTGTTTATCAGGTTCCTACTTCCTTGATTTAAAACAAAAATGAAAGGACAAGACTTGTAGTTTAGAATTATCTCATTGCGTGTTAAAAATTTTTAAATTTATGTTCTCATCAGCCAGGCATAGTGGTGAGTGCCTGTATTCCCAGTTATGAGGGAGGCACAGGAAGGACGATCATGGTACTAGGTCTAACCCCAGGCAAAAACACACAAAATAACCGAAGCAAAAATGGGCTTGGGTGTGGCTCAAGTAAAAGAATGATTGCCAAGGAAGTATGAGGCCCTGAGTTCAAAACCTCAGAAGCGCAAATAAATAAAAAGTAAATAAGCAAAACAAAAATACAGATTGCCAAACCCTACAACGAGGCCAAGGAACATGAGGGATGTTTTGTGTTTACAGTGCTGGGGATTGAACCCGGGACCCTGTGCATACCTGGCAAGTGCTCTACCACTGAACTACAGCTCCATCCCCAGAGACAAGCTTTATTGAGGCTTTAGTGTGTCTGATGCCCAGCTCGATCTGGTACCACTGGCCACTCAGACACTCGTGGACAATCCAGGGCCCCAGTCTCCACCTCTACTGACAGCAAAATCAGCCCCAGAGCGTGTCAGAGCTGGGCTCCACCCCAGAGTTTTTGCTTCAGCAGGCCTGGGGTGAACCATGGGACTCTGTAACCTTTTCCTTTTTTTTTTTTTCTGGAAGTACTGGGGTTTGAACTTGGGACTTCATGCTGGCTTGGAGGTTGCTCTACCGCTTGAACAATGCCTACATCTCTTTTTGCTTTGGTTATTTTTGTGGAAAGGTCTTACTTTTTGCACAGGATGTCTTGGACAGTGATCCTATTTTATGTTTCTGGCAGTAGTTGGGATGACAGGTACCTGTCACCATGCCCAGCTTTTTCTGTGGAGATGGTGGTCTCATGAACTCTTATGCCTGGACTGTTCTCAAACCATAATCCTCCTGATCTCTATCTCCTGCATAGCTAGGATGACAGGCATGAGCCACCGGTGCCCAGCTGCAGTCTGCATTTCTCACAGGTTCTCAGCCCAGACTGATGTTAGCCAGGGGACCATGCTTTGAGAACCCCTACCCTTCCTCGCTCAACAAGCCTGCTGC